AAATCCGTCCAATTTGGATTAGGATTGAATATAGAAATCCAGCATTTTAGTACATTTTTGGCGTGCTGTTAAGGCCGCGTGTTTTAATACGGACGCAAAACTATCTTTAATACGTCTTCCTCCTCGTTCGGTCCTCAGGTCTTAGGACTTTTGTACCTTTCAAATCAGAAATGCTATACATACATAATACTCCTTTGATTGTATGTAGTCTCTTTCAGACAACCATTATACGTACTATAATCTAATATATCTATTTTTGACTAAAGCACATACCTACCGACCTCTGTCTTAGTTCTGAATTTATTTAATCTATATCTATACTTATAGTAAAATTGTAGAGAGGTCAATTCTGTATTTTGAAATATATTTTGAAAATAACTATCAGGGGTGATTAGTGATCGATACTGATGCCAAAAATGCAATCAGTAAAATTTTTGTCTGTCTGTCTGTCTTTCTGTCTGTCCGTCTGTATGTTCCTTATAGAAACAAAAACTACTCGACGGATTTTAACGAAACTTGGTACAATTATTCTTCATACTCCTTGGCAGGTTATAGTATACTTAGGAATTCCCACGGGAACAGGAATTAGCGGGAAAATCCTTTTGAATGAAAAATCTAAACCGCTTAAGTTAGACGCTTGAAATTTTGCATGTAGGTACCTTAGTAAACTTAAAGCTTAATTACAACAGGATATTGCAAAATTCTCACGGGTACGGGAGTTAGCGGGAAAAAACATTTGTATGAAAAATCTAAACCGCGTTAGATGCTTGAAATTTGGCATGTAGGTACCTTAATTACAACAAGGAAAAAACATTTGTATGACAAAATCTAAACCGCGTTAGATAGATGAAGGGGGTAAAACGGGATCCACGCGTACGAAGTCGCGGGCGGCCGCTAGTATTCAACTAAAATGTATTATGTACCTAACGCTATAAGGCAGGTAACTTGAGTTCCCAGTATTTTCACCTTCAATCCTGTAATTGTTAAATTGGCGATGGCAACCCTAAATTGGTTCAATAATTTACTTTAATGCTCCTAACCAGTATTCCCAAGAAAGGATTTTTTTCACTTTTGTTTATTCTCCCTTTCTCTATGGACGAAATCAAATAGACCGCATCGAATATGAGTGTAAAAACATTGTTGTTATAGGTAACATGCCCATCTTTCGAGTAGATACCTATCTAATATTTATATGAAAATCTTCGTGTTGATTCAGTGGTATCGAACCTTATTACCACTTGACCTTGTCAGAATCGACCGCCCCGGAGCTGTTATTTATCATTTGGCTGTCTACACATCCCATTCCTTGCGCAATTGACATTATAATTGTTGTTAATTAAAGCCACGATCGCATCTAAGCCGTAACGCTACAATTAGTGACTAATTATTTAGAAATTACGTGATAGCTATTAACGAAGGTCAGATTTCGGAATAACGACCTAACTATTATTGTGTCTTTTTTAGTAAACTTTACACCTTGAAGTTTTTAATTGATAGTTGTTACTTATTTAATGAAAACTTAAGGAAGGTTAAAGGTTCTTGCATAAATCTTGCAAAACTGTTTTGGTTTTTTAAACTCGTATGTTTAATGTAGAAATAAAACAAGTTTTGTTTATTTTCGTTGTGGTCGTAGTTGTTTCAGAGTAATTTACAGCAATACATTTCAGAATTCTGCATGCGCAGTAGATTATTCCGTTGCAATAAAGAAAAACAGATTTACAAATGCGCTACCAAAAACCGCCACAAATTTACTCGCAGATGTGGTTATTATTCACGCATTTTCACAGTTATTTTTGTGGATTTTACAATTCAATTCAGCCTTCGACATATGCAATCGCTGTATTAAGCGATAAGCATGATTGTATATGTAAATTAATTTTATTTTAATTTTATTATACGCGATGCACAAAAGCTGTGTGGGAATCCGTTGCCAGATTCAAATAATGTATGTTTGGCCATAATATAGTAATGAAATTCAGTGAGTATGGAGAATTTTAGGTACTGAAGAATGTCAAGATCCGTCACCATCTTTTTCCAACTGGATCTAACAAACATTATTGCATAAGTGTTATGTAAATTACCGAGTACGTTAACGGCGTCTCTACAAGATAACATTTCAAAGCTTCGACGTCATTCTTAAGACCTTGAGCTTGAATTAAAAGTAGGCATCGTTTCTCCAACATTTCAACTTCAAACTTGTGTAAAAAGTAAATAAATCAACGGATTTATCGCAACAGTTAACTTGTGTATTAGTTTAACGACTTTGTTACTTGACTATACCAAGGAAAAGGAAATTCTTTTATTGAATTTTTTGTCGTGTTTATCTTGTCGACGAAACGGTTAGCGTTTAATCTGGATTATAAAACAATAAAATCACAATACATCAACAAGTAACGTAGGATTATAAAAGCGTGAAATCACAGCTAAAGATTTACAAGCCAATAGGCTTTTTGAAATCATTATAGCCCCTTGCGGTACAGCAAAAAGCTTTTCAAACTACTTAGTGGCGTTTTCTGAAGCGTTATAATTATTTTGAGCACGCAACGAGCGAGCGCCCAAGCGGTGGGCGGCAGACATAAATAGTGCATAAAAACACGAAATGGCCGAATATTTCACATTTATCATTTTTCCATTTCGTTTCTAAGATCTCAGATTATTTCACTCGAATGCTCAAACGATATTAAAAACACGACGCAGTAAATTTGTCTGGATAGAACGCACTTTACCATTTATGTGTCATGGACAGAAGATAGTAAATAAAAAGATTTTATAGTCGCGTACATGGATGACTTTTAGCATGAGCAATAACAAAGCTTTTTCCATAAAAGCCTTTTAAAACTATCAATGCTCGGCCAATCAATATGATATTTATAGAAAGGTAGATCACTGAAACATTTTACGTAGGTATAATAAAAGCGAAATACCACTGATTAATCACAATATCTACAAACTACAACCTACAAACTTGAAATTTGACAGGTTGACAGGTAGATTTCTTATGGGGTGTAGACATCCGCTAAGAACGGATTTTATGAAACTCCACCCCTAAGGGACTAAAACGGGATCCACGTGTGCGAATTTGCGGGTGGCCGCTAATAATTAAATAACTTGTTGTTAGTACACTTACCTACCTACCTAGTTAGAGTGCAGTGATCTGGAAGATGCCCAAATAGTACTCACTATCTTTTCCTCCGAGAGACTTCATTATTTACTTGAAATCACCAGCAAAACGGCTGAGTAAATTTTGGAGCAGTTAAATTCAAGTTATGCAATTTATTGGAGAATAACTAGAAGTTACCAACAATAAGGCTGAGTTGCACCACCTAACTTTGACGGTAACTATAACGATAACCGGTGCTTTTTGTATGGAGTTTGACAGATTTTTGACGTGTGTTAAAGTTAAAGTAAGATGGTGCAACCCAGCCTAAGAAATAAAAGCAAAAGTTTGTGAAGATCAATGGATGTGTCACCTTCACCCACAGTAGGACGGATTTTCATAAAACTTTACAATGTTGTCAGAAAACAAACGGGGTTGGGTATTTATAATTTTATTGTTAGCCTACTTTTAATCGAAGTTTATAAGGCCAAAGCCTCGGACAATAACTAATACTGAATGAATATTACTTAATTACTTAAACATTACATCAGCTTACATATTTTATAAGCTAGGTTATAAAATATGTAAGCTGATCGATTGATGAACGTTAGCATTAAATATGAGTTAATCTATTCTAAATACATCCTGGAGGCGTTAGCAATCGTTTTACCGATACTCTTTAAAGGTAATTTTGTTAAAGAAGTAGAATGTAGGTTCTGATTGTGATTTAATATCCAGGACGAAGCAAACAAATTAGGCATTAAAATGACGAGCTGGAGCGAAACTTTTAATATTCTCCTATTATTCAATCTGTAACTTTCCGCCAGTATTTACACCGCGAAATAACGGAAAATTAAAAGTTCTTGGTGGTTCGGTGCTTCAAAGGAAAAGGTTTTAAGTAACTTTGTATTCAACAGTGAGTTGAAGGAATGTAAATAGATACTGTAGACCATAATGATGTATGAATCGGCCATGTTAAGTAACTGTGAACTGTCTGTAACTCTATATCTTCTAGCTTACATGCAATCTTCCTATTGATTACAGGAAGATTGCATGTAAGATAGAAGTTATAACTGGAGAACCATCTTAACTTCCCACAGATATGAATAACATAAAATTTCAGGAGTCTTCCAGCTACTTGGCCCACTTTTAGCTTTGTCCACGGGCTAAGTCGCCAGTTTTAAACATTTTTTGTTAATAAATTAAGCGACTTAGTCCATGGACTAAGTTAAAAGTGGGCCAAGCCACTGGAAGACTCCCAGCTAAGTACAATTAGGTATGTAACCCGCTGTAAAGTATAAGTTCATTTAACTTTATACCTTTAAAAATCTATCTAAGTGCTCATGTAAACTCCATTTATTATTTTTCCTAATACCTAACTGAAAATGTAAAAACCTGATGACTAATATAATGACTTTATGGTAAGCAATTACTCGTACCTGCCTACGTAATAACTTTGCGAAAAGTTAGCGTATGACAAAATTTGGAAACTAATTTGCGTGCATGCGATCGTTTCTTGCCACACATGTCACCCTCTCTGTAAGTTTTGGGGGAATGTAATACCTATACACCGTCAAAAACTTCGTGAATACTTTTGTGTGGGTTTATTTCGGTTTAATTTAGTGTCTCAAAAGTATTTGATTGTAATCAAGGCAATTTCGACTCTAATGGCAGCAGGAGCAGCCATGATAGCGGAGCGCAGGCGAGCGCAGGTCGCTAAGGCAGCGTGTCGAATGCGCGCCACCGCACCGCCTCCGTCGTCGAAAAGAAAGGACTGTATAGTTGTTAAATAATGACGATAGTTGCACGTTACTGAGTGAAATGTCCGTAGGGTTGGTGTTCTGACGAGATGAGCACCTTGGTATTTAAGAGCGGGTCGGTAAGGCGAATGTCATCAGTTAACACAAGCTCTCTGTGATAGGAACATCTCCAAAAGTGGAGTTGTTCTAGTGGGTTCATAACGACTCGTAGCTACTAAGGTTTCATACTAAGAAGCCTTCTCCTCCAAGCACAATATGCGTGCATTCGTGGTAAGTTGGCCTGCGTATATTTTCGATAAATCGATCGGATCAATACCTATTTGGCATAAGTGACTTGATAAGACTTTCAGGATTAACTACAAGGATTTGAAGTGAAGTGTATAGTGATAAAAATACAGTGGAACAATCAGTGCCAAATAGTGATTGAAAAGATGATATTATTTAAGTGATTACCTAAATGTAAAGGATTTATAATTTTATCTTGATTTTAAAATCATTGTAATGAATGATGATAAAGACCCTGAATGGATCATTATTTTTTCTAGATATTAGGTACTTAAATTGACTGATGTTTCAGTAATCGAATCAAGTTTTTAATGTAAAAATATAAGAATACTTTATCCAGTACCAGTTATTTAAAAAAATATCCAAATATTATTATGTATTTCAGTTCTAATCATTAACGATTATATTCCGTTAAAATATCCGTAAACATCACATTCGCATACCAGATATTCGATGGATTTTCAATAAATGCAAAGTTCGCGCCAAAAGCACCGCACCGTTTTATGTGGAGCGGTCTCCGAGCAGTCGAAAGGAGCTCTCGATTTTTATTCACCTGGAGTGCGATTTACGTTTCACCTCGTTCATTTCCACACGCGCGACACTCGATGCGGCGATAAAAGTAACTCGTCGATCTGTATTCCGAGTAACAGTCTGAACCAAATACGATTGAAATCCAAACATCTCCCCTTATTGCATAATCCTAATTATTCGGACTTGTTTACGAATGTGCAGTCCGTTACGTCACGTCCGATCGTACCGATATCATCTTCTTGCACTGGATTCACTTTCATCTTTGTTAAGATTATTGCAAAATTTAACCGAAAAGATATTGTGTCTGATATGCTTAGCGAATAATGCTGCGCCGTTTTATTGCTCGTTTAAACTTTGGCTGTGCTTGCTGTTAAGTGTGTAACACATTTTGCCAACCCAGACATCTTTCACTTACCTACTCTTGTTTAATGTGGTTAGTTAATGCGGCATTATCGCATTACGTAAGTAACCGCTACTTTATGTTTTGACTGCTACATATTTATATGTTCAATCTACGAGATGAGGTAAATGAGCCGCAAAGGAGTAGCGTTCGCGGTTAACGACTTCTTTGTTCTTATCCCGATTTAGATCAAATGATACAACCGTTGCGAAGATGAGTCCAGGCGAATTCCCGTCTAATACGTTTGGGCTGGGGATTAAAAGCTCTATTTATGTGTGAGCTGTATTAATAGAATCGTTAGTTGTGTTATCAAAACTCGTGTTAGGTCTTGCCGCTCCCAGCCGACTGGCCAACGTTCATCCTTTCCGTGGTATTCAAATAAACTGGAAGCGTAGAGAACATATTACTCGTGTCGTAACACTTCTAAAAAAATGCGCAGTGAATTTAATAAGAGTTTCGTTTGTTTCAGGTACTCGCCTGTGTGGCGCTCGCCTACGGCCGCCCTGAGCCCCCAGTCGGCTACAGCTACTCCGCGCCCAGCGCGAGGTACTCCGCGCCTTCCGGCAGCTATGGAGCTCCGTCCGCTGGCGGACACAGAACCATCTCTGTAGGAGGACACTCCTCCGGTGGGATCTCTTTCGGACACTCCTCTGGTGGAATCTCCCTGGGTGGCGGACACTCCTCGGGCGGCCTTTCCCTCGGTGGCGGACACTCCTCTGGCGGACTCTCCCTCGGCGGCGGACACTCCTCTGGCGGACTCTCCCTTGGTGGCGGACACTCCTCCGGTGGAATCTCTCTGGGTGGCAGCGGATTCGGTGGTGACTCTGGCTTCGGAGGTGGATACGCCGGCGGATACTCTGGCGCTCCTCTCGTCCAGAAACACATCTACGTCCACGTGCCCCCACCAGAACCCGTTGAGCACAGGGCTCCTCGCATTCCTGAAGTAGCACCTCCTCAGAAGCACTACAAGATCATCTTCATCAAGGCCCCGACTCCCCCTACCCCCGTCGCGCCCATCATCCCCGTTCAGGCCCAGAACGAAGAGAAGACCCTCGTATACGTGCTCGTCAAGAAGCCCGAAGAGCAGCCCGACATCGTTATTCCGACCCCGGCTCCCACTCAGCCCTCCAAACCCGAAGTTTACTTCATCAAGTACCAGACCCAGAAGGAATCTGGTGGTGCTATCGGAGGTGGTGCTATCGGCGGTGGTGCTATCGGCGGCGGTGCTATTGCCGGTGGTGCTATTGGAGGCGGCATCGGCGGTGGTGACTTGGGCGGCATCAGCCTTGGCGGTGCTGGCATCGGTGGCGGCGCTGGTGTGGGCGGTGGTGCCGGCGGACACGGTGGTGATGACATCGGCGCTGACTTCGGTGCTACTGGTGGCGATGACGGCAGCTCTGACGCCGGCCACGGTGGTGCTACCAGCTCTCAGTACGGTCCTCCCGGACACGTTGCTGGACCCCTTCACTAAGATAAAGACGTGATGCGAGTGGTAGGATAGGTGATATTTATTGCTGTGCGAAAATCAGTATTCTTGACCATTCCCAAAAATGAAGCGTGCTGTCACCTGTCACTTGCCCCGCGGCGCGCGGCTAGCGCCCTGTACATAGTCTTCACCAGCGTTGACTGCGCGCGCGCTTATCATAAACGCTTCATAGTTCTCATCTTCGCAACTCATCTCTACTTGTTATTAGTGCACAAGTGTTAATGTTATCCTAAAGGAGGTAATTTACAGCGACTGTTACGTTATGTATTATAGCTTTTTTATTGTCGTAATAAAGAAATATAAGTGATGTATGTTTTGTTTTTTTGGTTATGTGGGGAACGGGTGGATTGCTCGGACAATTGCGTCATCATTACCGAAAGTAGTCGTGAAAGGTTGCCCTGTCGTGACTGAGGGCGCCGGTAGCGAGTCTCCTTTCTCGCATTCGACCGGTATGATTAGGCCCGACATAAAATTTAAATTGTGAACAATCAGATTGGATTACACATAGTGTTGAGTAACAACTTATATCTTGTAGAGCTGTCAGTTCAATTGAGCGCTTTACGTCGCGATTGATTCAATGCAATAGAACCACGTTTTTGAAAGATAATGGTGAATCAGTAAGAAGGTACCTACTTTAACTACGAGTATATCAATCATGTTTTAACTTACATTAATAAAAGTACTGGACCGAACAACTTAAAACTATCGTGCCTAAAGTTAGTTAACATTTCAAAATGTAGACTAAGAAATGATAGAACTGATAAAATAAATAACGCACAAACCCCTATAACAAAGATTAATAATTTCAAAACATCTTACTGTATTTTATCACGAAACTAAACTTAACTTCTAAAGCCAGTTCCAATTAGAGCGTTTTTAAAACCGCCGCGTTAGTCGATACGTTCACACTTGCAGCATTATTAAGTTACCGGTTCCATACGTGTTCTTTCGGTCGCTCCGGAGCGATCTCGTTAATGACCGTCTAATGGATCATAGGTGTAATTACACTTTCGTATAATTTAGTGGAGGTTGCGGTTGCATAACATCGATATCTTCACACCATTAATTTTTTTCTTATACGGCATTCCACCGCGATCCATTCCACACTTAATCCGGGATTAGGCAATTTGACTTATGATATTTAGGTCGTAATTTCGTGTTTGCTTAGGTTGTGGGTTTGTACCTACTTCAGCATGTTAGAATTATTTGGTTTTAGGTAATAGTGAGTAAGAGATTTGTTCAATTAATTGGCGTTTCTTTGATCGATCAATTCTAATACGGAAAATACGCAAAAAAGAAAAAAAGTAGCCGTAACCGACTATAGCTCTTCGAATTGCTAAATGTAAGTGCTAATCTCTTAAGGTACTGAAAATCGTTGAGGGGAAAAGATTCTCTAGTGGCTACCAGAAACGTGAAAGACGAGGCGTGGGTGGCCTGGCCTACCCACGCCTGCCACTCAGTGGACCGATGACCTGAGTTAGTTGTGGGATGCAAACGATCAGTGTCGCTCACTGTAGCATTGTATAGGGTGGCTTATGTCCAGCAGTGGAGCTTTGAAGGCTGTTGATGATCTACCTACTCACGCAGTATCTCAATATTCGTTGGTTCTCCACTACAATGTGACACTAGTACCTAGATAGTTTTGAAAAATTGTGCAATCTTATTGTCCCTAATAGACAATACAATGTGGCATACATGGCGTATTATATTACTATCGATACATAACCATCTTAAATCCTAATTCTATTTAAATTTTTCACGCCTATTTTAAAAAATCCGCCGAAATCCATACGCCATTTTTTCGCAGATTTTCCTACTTTTCAATATTTTGATAAAACATTTGCAGAGCCGAGGGAAAAGCTTGTCATATATTTAAATACAAATTAAATACACGCAAAGCATTTCCAGCGATGTGTTGCATTTCGGTGTTTCCCCCTGCAAACCATCTCTGTGGGCACAGTAATTATTTGTTTTCAGCCTGGCTTGTCACTGAGGAATTAATTACTTACTTAGGGAAGTTTACCCAGCAAGCAGTTGCAAACTGTTTGATCCTTAGGCACACCAGTTAATGTAATACTTCAATAGATATGTTGCAGTCAAAACTCAAAATCAGTCAAAACCACTTTTGACTGCATGAATCAGTCAAAACTGGTTTGGTTGACTGATGCCCGTGGTCAATATCACTTTTGACTGATTTGTCCAGTCAAGTGGTTTTGACCAAGGGCGTTAGTTTTTAGCAGTCAAAAGTGGTTCTGACCGATTATGAGTTTTGACTGTAACAGTCTATTATAGACCCACGGTACTAAGTATTATATCGTCGTCGAATTTATCGCAGAACGAAAACGTGATACGACGAGGTTTGTGGGGATTTTGGTAGGTTTGCTTGTTTACTCGTGTTGTAGGCAGAGGTCTTAAGATCTGGACACTACGTGGCGTGTGAGGCCGTAGGATGTAATAACAATATAGGTACCTTCGTCGCCTTTGAGTAAAAACCTCGGGAATGCATTTTTTCGCATATTTTTGCATTTCGCTTAATCATACAGAATATCTGAGCATCAGAAGTTCTGAATATACTCGTAAAAGTGGGTTCTTCTTTTACACTTATGAGGTTTTCACTCTAAGACGTCGCTATACATACATATTGATTGCTAACATAAACGTAGCTGTTGGGTAGTAAGCTTTATCTCATACAATGGATTCTTATTATAAAAATTTATTACTAACTTAAAAAAATATCTTCTCTACTATTACGAAACAGCACCGAAAATCAAATTATATCTGTAATGATAAGTAAGTAGGTGCTTAAATTGTAGGCATGGACAAATGTACGCGTTGGCAAGGGAAAGTTTGCAAAAGAAAACAAATAAATAATCCCAATAACCTAGAGGAAAATAGAACAAACACGCCTCTTACTTTGTTTTTATGGACTGCCCTTAAATATTTCCAAGGTCTTTGTCGACGCTACTGTCAAAGTAGGTATATGACGCCCGTATTCACAAACGATGCTTGCTTAATTGAAGCAGCAAATCGAACGCACAGCGTTGAATAAAGCTCTATGATTGGTTCGTTTGTCATCCTGTGCGTCCACGCGCACTGTGAAACCTCATAGTAAAGTTTGTGAATAAGGGCGCGAATATCCACTAATAATAATAATATAATAATAATAATAAAACGTTTATTTCAGACATAGATCCATAGGTGCTCGTATCATGATAAAGTTGTATGTGATAATTTCCGAGAGATACGCGAGTAAACTTCTCTTTTTTTGACGTCAACAATTATTATTAATCCTATTTATATTTTAAATGTGAAAGTTAATGTGGATATATGGATTTATGTTTGTTACTCTTTCACGAAAAAAATACTGAACGGATTTTTTTTTTAATATTCGACATTAAGATGATTTCAAAACTGGATAGGTAGGTAAGTTTACATTTTAAATTATGAATGCTCTTTAATGCTGAGTAATACCTACTTACCTACCTACTACTAAATAATCTAATCCTAGCTTACAAAAGTGCAATCTATACTGGTTTATAAAAACAGTTATATTTGCACAACGTTCAAATAAATCACCCAATAATTGAGGTATCCGGTTACCCTCCCCAAATGTATTTTCCGTATGCATACCGCGTTTTTGATGGGGGTCGGGCACGCAAGCTGGCACATGTACCTTACACGCGACACAAGCTAAAAACTGTAGCATCTTATGCAGTAGTAAATAGGTTCTATTTTTCAATAAAAATGTCTGTAGCTCTTACTGTACAATGTACATGTCGACGCTCAAAACCTACATGTTCCATTATTCAAACGTCAGCAAGAAAATAAATAAAAGTATAAAATTGTCCCAACAACCGTACCAATTACCTTGTCCCAATAACTAAGCAAAGCTTGTACAATAATACATATACTATAAAAAGATAAATATACGAAAATAGATACATAATTATGGACACAAAAACAGAATAGTTCTATTGATATGTAACTAACATCTATACCGGTCAAGGTATGAAAATAATACAAACTTTGATCGCATTGGAATTAAGAAAGAAAGAAAGAAAGAAAGAAAGAAACATTTATTGCCATGGACATCACAGAAGACAAAAGATGTAAATAATAGAAAAAAAAGTAAATAAGACATAGGTGACATAAAATAAAACATACAATGAAAGTGAAAGTAAAACTGAGCAGTGCCACCCTGTCGCACAGCGATGTCCATCGCAATGGGACCCCACTCAGCATATGCCATGGCCCCCGGTGAGGGAGGCCACGACGCTGGTTTTCAGTGTGCCCCATGCCGAGTGGGAGTCACGGACACTAACCTATACTGCATAAAATATACATACATAAATAATAATAATAGTGCGCGTATAAATTTTAAGTGTAAGTACAGTATAATATTATTATAAAGAAAAGATGTAATAAGATATTATAAATAAAACGATAATATTAGAATTAGAACATAATAATATGCTGTCCGTCACCAACCCGTCTGGCCAGCGTGAGGAGTGTAGATCAAATCCTCCATTCGCCTCTGGTAAATTAGAGAGGGTCGTGCTACTGCAGTGGAGACGAAATAACCTGATGATTATGATGATGACTATGCTGGCATTGTAGTAGAGATGGGTTATACTAGGTAAATTTGATACTAGGTGCACCTATTCCAAGTATTTATTAATACTTGATCCAAATACCTATTCCACCTAGTACGTAGTAATTTACCATTCTTGACGCGACTAGTGCGGACTAATCCACGTATTATGACTTTAAAATACAATTTTCTTTGAAAAGATACAACCGTAGCTTAGTATTAATAATGATTTATTGATATCCTCCCTTCATACTTCAACAGGCTATTCCTATCTCACACCTGCCTGCGCTCAAATTTGTTTGTCAGACAGAGACGGAGTGAATCTCTACGTTCGCACATAAGCTTAGCGAGAAATACGCGGTGCGCGTTATTACGCGACTTTTAACACTTTTATTTATTATTTTATATTATATTAACACGACTACGGATTATGCAATAATAACCTCTATTACTTTGATGGTAGGGTCGGAAATCGTGTAATTTAAAAAATACTAGGTGGATCAAGTATTTTAAAAATTGGAATAGGTGCCACTTAGTACTGTAAAATACCTAGTGTGTGAATCTGTTCTAGTAAATACGTCTCATCTCTACATTGTAGCCTTGAACCACCAAACCACCCATTCGTCAAGTCTCAATTTAATGGCTAGCTAAAGACTAGTCGGGAGATTAGCATTAGCTTATTCGAGGGATTTTATGCATGAAGTCACTATTACCTT